CCCAAAATGGATGGATTATGCCCACATCCCTGCACATAAAATGCAGGTCTTTCTAACTCTGGCTTGTAAGCAGCTTAAGAAGATGAAGGTCTAAGTAACTTTTAAAATGGAGACTATAAATGTTGATTTGTTATCCACAAAGGGAACAATAAGCTACTTGTCGATTAATAATTACAAGGTTTTTTTTTAATCACTGTAGTGTTTCCTCTCCTTTTTGCAGAGAAAAAGAGAATAGTTAAGTGATTTTGGAGAAAGCAACTCAAGTGTTTATTGAATTTGATAAACCCAGTCATGCATTATTACCTTCACTGGTGCTGAGGAAGGACTGGGAGGGCATGTCCTCCACCTGGAGCTTGACCACAGCCTGGGAAAGAGTCATTAGGCGATTTTGTCACCATGTGAACATCATAGAGTTCACACAAACCGACACAGCACAGCCTCTACACACCTGGGCTGCACGAGACAGCCTATGGCTCCCAGGCCACATACCTACAGACCATGTTACTATTCTGAACCCTGCAGGCAAATGGAAACACAATGGTAAGCATCTGTGTGTCTAAACACAGAAAAAGTACAGTAAAAATATGGCATAAAATATAAAAAGTGGCAAACCCATATAGGGAAGAATGGAGCTTCCAGGACTGGAAGTTGCTCTCTCTGGCTGAGTGAGTGGATAGAGAGTATGAAGGCCTAGGACGTTACTGTGCACTGCTGCAGACTTTATAAATGCCAGATACTTAGACTACACCAAATTAATAAAAAAAAATTTCTCCCTTCAATCAATAATAAATTAACTTTAGCTTACTGTATTTCTTTTATTTTAGAAATATTTTAATTTTGTTAAATTTTTTTTTTTTTTTACTCATTTGTAATCTGTAACATTTAGGCTCAGTGCCTGTAGCTCAAGCAGCTTAGGTGCCAGCCACATACACCAGAGCTGGCGGGTTCGAATCCAGCCTGGGCTGCCAAATAAAAATGACAACTGCAACCAAAAAATAGCCAGGTGTTGTGGCGGGCACCTGTAGTCCTAGCTACTTGGGAGGCTGAGAAGAGAGAATCACTTAAGCCAGGAGTTGGAGGTTGCTGTGAGCTGTGATGCCACAGCACTCTACCCAGGGTGACAGCTTGAGGCTTTGTCTCAAAAAAAAAAAGTAACATTTAACTTAAGACACAAACACACTTTACAGCTGTCCAAAAGCATTATCTTTGTGTAAGCCTAGGCTACAATTTTTCCTATTTTTATTTTTTTAACTTTTAAAATATTTTTATTAAAAACTAAGATACATGCACATTAGCCTAGGCCTACAAAGTATCATCTGCATTAGCGTCTCCACAATTTATTCCACTGGAAGGTCCTCAGGGGCAATAACACACATGGAGCTGTCATCTCATGTGACAACAAAGCCTTCTGCAGAAATACTTCCTGAACTGTTCTATAGTTAACTTTTCTTCTTTTTAATAAGTAGGAGTACTCCCTAAAATAATGATTAAAGCACAGCAAATGTAGCATCATAGTCATTTATTATCATTATCAAATATTATGTACCACACATAATAATTGTACATGATAGTCTTTTATGACTGGCAAAGAAGTAAGTTTAAACCAGCATCAGCACAAACACGTGTGTAACGCTTTGTGCTACCTACGTCATTAGGCCATAGAATTTCATGGGACCACCGTCATGGATGTGCTCCATCACCGACTCAGCATTACAAGGAGCATGAAGGTGTGTGGTAAACATGACATGGCATAACAATATTAACAGACAACTGGATGGCCATTCAGAAACCTATGTGGAAAAATAAAAATTAGGAAGCTATATGCTAAAAGACATTTAAGATAGAACAAAAACTTAGATGTAAAAAAATAAAACTAATAAAAATACTAGAAGAAAACAGGAGACTATCTTTAATAAACCCAGAGTAGGGGAAAGCCTAAATATGAGAAACAAAACAAAAAAAAGAAAATACAACAGCTATAAAAGACTGATATGACTATCTGCAATAAGGAAAAAATATTCCTCAAACCACCAAGTTTGAAAAGATAAGAAACTAAGAGGCAGGGGGAAATGATCTGCTTCACATAGCTACATTAAGAGCTAATTTCTTTATTATGTAGAAAACTTCCTTCAAAGTCAAAAAAGCCCAGTAATCCAAACAGAAAAAAGAAGATAGCTCAAAAGGAAATGCAAATGGTTTTAAATAGGTGAAAAAATGTAACATTCCAACTGCACTATAGCATGGTGCTCACCAGGTAGGCAGCTGAACCATTGGCATGGTCTTCCAACATTGCTAGTGGTAATGTAACCTCCTTAGAGGGCAATTTGGTGATATGTATTAAAATGACACATTTACATGCTCTTTGACCCAGTAACTCTACTTCTAAGAACTTATCCAATAAATGTATGTGCTTGAATGGAAAATGAACCATGCAACAAAAATATTAAATACTTATGTAAGAATACAAACAATATAAATGTCTACCAATAAGTGACTAGTTAAATTATTGTCAGACATATATAATGGAATACTAGTCAGCTCTTTTTTTTTTTTTTTTTTTTGAGACGGAGCCTCAAGCTATCCCCCTGGATAGAGTGCCATGGCTTCACAGCTCAGAGCAATCTCCAACTCCTGGGCTCAAGCGAGTCTCCTGCCTCTGCCTCCCAAGTAGCTGGGACTACAGGCGCCCGCCACAACGCCTGGCCATTTTT